AAAAAAATGCCTAACTTACTTTGTACCATTTAATATTCTCTCTAAACGCTTAACCTTGTTCTGTTTTTACTTCGACAGTTGCACTTTGTTAGCTACAATACTAAATATGCCGACCTTATGGACGCACTCAACCATGAAGATGGCCTCGCTGTTCTTGGTCTCTTCATGCAGGTAACTGGAATTAAAAAGGTTTATTGATGCTAAGTAATTCAAAAACCCCTAAAACTAAGCACACACTTTATAGACTCCGATGACCGGCAACTGAAGGTTTTGACCGCATATGTCACGATCCTACTCGGAGAACAAAAAGCATATGGTGTACATGAAACAGCTCTCAAACTGATAACATCTTACTCACAAACATAAAGTAGAATACAAGTGAATATATGAAAGATCATATGTTTCAACTGCGGAGAAAGATATGAAGACATGATTGATCATCGCAGTTATACAGACAACTTAAGCAGTAGTGAAATCAAAGCCAGAAAAAAAATTCATGCCTGAATGGGATTCGAACCCATGACTTTTGCAATACCGGTGCAGTGCAATGAAGTCTTTATTCTCTAATAATATACGTGAAAAAATTACTCGATTCTGATTGGCCGAGAGCAGTGCAGTTCAAGTGTAACACCAGTGTAAAAAGTGTAATACCAGCGCAAATCACACATCGTAATTCTGGATTATGACTGGCTAAAAAACAATAGGAAATTTTCTAAGCCAATGATATCACGTAAAATGATGACAAAAATTTTGGGCGGAAACTTTGAAAAAAGTTTTGTCGAATGAGAAAAAATGGCTTCAAGAAAGATCTTCCGGCACTACCTCCACGCGAATTTTTTCATGTTTACATTATTAAAGCCCGAAGCAGCTCGTGTAATTTCAGCTTTTTGAAAAACTCACCCTTGCAAATTAATTCCAAATTGAACTCGAAACCGTATCATACCTTACAAACACTTTCATTATGAACCCTAGTGTGGGAATTTAGACGAACTATTCCATTGTTTCTGACATTAAATAAATGGTCTTATCGATCCTCTCTTATCTTAGCATGCGACTTATCATCAACTACGTATACGTTTTTGTACAGTTGTCAGTGCATGCTCTGCTTACACGATTGATCAAGATTATATAAATTAAATTTTTATGTAAATTTAATTTCATTCGTGCGATCCGTCTTAGCAAAAGCTAATTAATATTTATTGTTTTTTACTCTACTTTCTTCAGGTCGGAGGCAAAAATAACACAGCATTTTCGTTTCTGGAAAGTGCCCGAAACCTTACTTCTAGCTGTAAGTCATGTTTTTTCTCTGTATTTGAAGAATTATTTTTCATAACCTTAATAGAAAGCTCTATAAGATATTATTGTTATATATTATTATAACACATCATACTTTTCAATTCATGTAGTTATATTAATAAATTGGTTATCATTTTCTACAGACACTTCTATCAGTGACGTTCCAGCTTTCAGATTTGACACAATGTTGCCTGCCAATAAGACCAAGTACTTCCGTTACAGTGGTTCACTAACCACTCCCTCGTGCAAAGAGAGTGTAACTTGGACGGTTTTTAGGGACGCTGTCAACATATCGGAGTATCAGGTACACTTCAATTCAATTGAGTTGAATTAAAATAAACTACTTTTTGGTCAGAATAGTCATTGTCTCGTCAGCAGGGTGATTTTCTCTAACGTTGAGTTTATTTTTCCCAGATGAACATTCTGCGTCAACTAAGGAAGACTTACACCACGAAAAGTGTCGGAAATTTCCGTCCCGTACAGCCACTTTACGACCGAGTCATCAGGGCTAGTTTCCAAGTTGGCGAGATGACAAACACCACTTCGACTACTGCCAGCACCAATGGGGCGGAAGCTACCACTCCCACTATAACTGACCAAAAAAGTACCTCTTCAATCCCTTCTACTGTTCTTTCTACTACAAATGCGGAGGAATCACCCCCAGCTCCAACTGTTGAATTTGACCTTGGATCATCTGCTGTTCGAATGACCGGTGGCCTGGTTCTGTCGATGTTGTTTTCTGCCCTGACAGCTTTATTTGTGCATTAACACGACGTCATGTTGACACTAATGTAGTTTCACATCTAATTGTCTTGTACCAGCGTCAACTCAGAAATGACATTCAAGACCAGCCCAACGTAAACGGGATTACCACGTCAGTAATTACTTGCAAATTGGCAGGAATCTGTAACCTGTGGTCAGGCTCGATTTTAGTTTCACCATAAACTTCACCTTGTTATTAGGTGCACTTGAGCACAGGCCTCAGTAGTCCTGTTCGGAGTTTTGTCGGTATACTCTACCTGCGCTAGCGGTTATTTGGCTCTTAGGCCCACCATCATCTTTTGACAACGCGCAAACACGTAACCTTTATTTCCACTCTGCTCTCCCACACTCAAGGTCTTCCTAGTCCCCCTTTTTTGACTTAGATGGGTGGCTATGCCATCCCCCTTTCTAAACTAAACAGGAGGATTGGGTCCCCACCCTCTGACCAACCCTGCAAGATTGTAATGCCAACTGGAATGCCAACAAAAGCATTTTAGCAATCACCCACGTAAAAGAATATAAGAACGTCGCTAAAATTCGCGGAATTACAGGTTACAGGTTCTTAAGTCCAACGAATTGCAAAAACAACAACAAAAAAATGCATGTTTGGCTACTATTCGACCAATCAGAAGCAAAGTAAGATTAACAGGCTTTGGTGTATGCGTTTTACCGCGCATGATGGAGGCTGAAATTAAGGTTTATTGCGAGTTCTGGTGGCTTTTTAGTTCATTCATGCGTTTAGTGAAGGTTGAGGAAAAAAAAGCCGCATACGACAAAAAAATGTAAAACAAAATGAAAAGAGAAACAAGAAGGCAAACATAAAACAAATGATTAGTATTTGCATAAGCATCGTAATTTTATGTATGATTGTGTTAAGGTAAAGAAATAAAGAAGCTTAAGAGATATTTTAACTCTGTCGTCCTTGATCTTAGTTATTTGTAAGTACTTGGTTGAAGTGCTTCAATTTAAATGGGGCTACGTCAATTGGACAATTCTAGCACTTAAATCACAGAATTGACTGAAATATCGAAATAACTGCTTCCAACTGTAGAAGTAAGAACCCAAGCGAAATACAAAATAGACAAAGAGGAGCACGTTTGAGCGAAATTGAAGGAGTTTAGAAAAGGATTGCATTCAAGCATCATTGGAATTCAGAGGCCCACATATTTTCAAGTTTGCCTCAACTTGTAGCATAAGGT